TCAAACCATAATGCTTGACCTCTAGAAGTTTGACACTCTAGCTACGTGCTTTTTGACAGAATGTACAGCAAAAGACCTGGATATTATTGCCTTACAGTTAAAACATAAAATTATTATTGGTTGTGGGACTCAAGTTCTTCATGTCTTTAAACTTTCTTCATGTCATGTTGCATTTCAGTTTTGATGGTTTTTGATTTTTGTTTTGAGGCTTCTTCTAATTATTACATATTAATTTTTTATATTTACTTTGATATAAATTATTTTCAAGTTACTTTGATATAAATTATTTTCATATTTCACGCAGTTAGTTAAGTAATTTAAATAATATGCATTTACTTTGTGCATGCCAAATGTAAAATTTTCTTTTCTGCTATGGAATACTTCCCCTTTTCTTCTTTGGATGATTCAAAGGGAAGTTTTGAAGAAATTATTGAAAGGTGAGAGTTAGTTAAGCAAAATATTTTCAACTATGAGGAAGACAGGGCAAAAGTTCTGATGTGTTGTTGGGATCTTTATCTACAACAGGATTTTGTCAAGATCTTAGGAAATCAAAGGTGGAAAATATGACAAGTCATCAGATGTTGTAGAGCATCACCGGCTACAGAGTCTTGAAAAAGGTACAGTAATCGAATTGCTCTACTTTGCACCACCCTTCACAGTTATCAATGTGAAGGAAGTTAGCATGAAACTTCTTCTGTTGCATTGACACACTGATTTTCATTCTACATTTCAAGAATTCTATGTAATTAATGTGTTTACTAGAAAATCAATTTATTCTTAATACTGCAATGCAAATTTCCCAAACATTCCAATGGTCACGAACATAGCTGGTTGATATTGACTTAAAAGTGCTATGTAAGGCACTGAAAACATTAAAGTCATTATTTGCTGTGTGATTTTAAGGATTCCATAACTACATGTGTCATGAACTTATGCTTGAACAAATCAAAGAGGAACACTAAGCTCAATCGTTGTGGTAGATTTAAAGAGAAGGAAATAGAAGATACATTTTATCCTCCTTTGTTAAATTGCTCTTCTTCTGGATTAGAATTTTAGCCATTGTTTTTTTTTAATAATATACTGTTTAGGGAATTTGCTCTGATTTCAATGTGGAGAGTACCAGCTATGCCAATGCGTGTACAAGAGTTGCTAAGTTTACTTGCTGAGCCTTTGAAGCAGCTTTCAAAACCATCAGATACTCTTGAGGATTATGTTTCTAAGAATCTGAAAGAGTTTCAAGATTAGGTATGCGTCATGTATGTCTTTTTATCATTCTTAATCTTTATATATTGTAATATTTTAGTTGTTTCCTTAATCTATGATCTGTAATTGTTAGAGTGAGTGCTGCTCTTGTGATACAACTTATTGCAACTAGGTAAAATTAAGCTTGAGAATGCAAAGGTTCCTCTCCTTGAACTCTCAGTGGAGGAGAAACAAAGAGCCATGACAGCAGCTGACGAGACATTGAATTCTTCTATGTCATTGTTACTAAATGATTGAATTAAACCATACTTTTCGTTTATGCACCACAAACACACACTTGATCGCTGATTGGTAAGCATGTGCTCTAATAAATATTTTCCACCGAAGACAGTGAATTATGATTGTTTCATTCTGACATGCAATGCTACAGGAAAAGGACAGTCTTATTTTTCACATCAACTTCGATTCAACCTATATCTTTGATGACGACGTCAACAATTAAAACCAAGGCAATCAACTACCAGCACAAAAATAGCAAATTCTACCAAGTTATTGCTGCCTTGTATAAGCATTAATTAAGGCATTAACTAAAACATGTTTTATGTAACTTCCAATTGAATCATCTATCTTTGCATCTTTGTGTTTAAAACCTATCCACACATGTCTTTCGTTTAACAATTAAAATTTTTGTATTACTCTGCCAGCACTAACGATTATATATTTTCAAAATTATGCAAACTTAAAAAAAAGAATTTAAACTACATTCGAATAATGCTGAAGCATACACTGCCATTTTTCACAGTAAAACAATTAATATCTACACTACAACAAAATAAAATTACTTGACAATCAAAATTACTTAATTCCTATAAATAGTTTCATTTCTCCATCAAATCCAACTTAAATTAATACAAGCACACAATAAACCATAGTTTCATTTAAAATATTTTTGTGCATCTAAATAAACAAGAGTACCTAAGATATTCTAAGTTTACCAATATATCCAAATGAAGATAAATAAATCAAATAACAGAATAAATATACACATAACTTTTATGAATAAAAAATAATATATAGCAAATAATCTTAATAAGTTAAAAAAAATCAAATGTTGCCACTGATAAGCACAAACTTCCCATTAAAACAGCCACGTAGCAAAAGAATACTTGCAGTGCAAGCGCAGGCATTGAACTAGTTTATATCTCAATCAGAATGCTTATGGTGTTGGATACACGCCATCAGGCCAACAAAAATCTAGGAGAAAACTACATAATAGGTATGTCGATTTTAAATTTTTTCTCAATCGAGTACTTTCAGCTTTTATTTTTTTTTTTGTTTCAGTATATCAACTTTTTTAAAAATGTTAATCGAGTTTTTCCTTATAATTTTTCATATGGTGATGATGTGATAATTAACGAAGAAGAATAAATGACTATGTTGTTTTTATTTTCTTTTTTCCTCTTAAATTGTTATTTTTGTTTAACTACTAATAAAAAAAGAGAAAAAAGAAAAAGCAAAGCAGGTGGCATCCATGCGTGCCATATATATATATATATGATACAAATTAAATTTTGATATTAATCAAATCAAAACAACATTATCCATGGAAACATCGCAAAAGTAAAAGATAACATAATGTTTTATTTCTATTTTTTGGGAAGATGATTCCTATATTGCGCTTCTTGAATTATAATAATAAGGGAAAACCTCAAAAATATTTTAGTCTTGGTATATATTTTATTTTAAATATTTTTGTTTTGGTATATATTTAAGTTTAAAAAATTCAAAAATTTTCAATTTATAACTTTTATCCATTTTTAAAAACTTTTTATTCATATTTTTCATGATTTAATGATAAAATTTGCCCTCGTTTTATTACGATTTGGCAATTTTGAATCTCTAGGGCCAAATTGTATAATTTGAATGCAAAAGTATTAGAGATTGGGTAAATATAATTCAAATTACCCCAATCTCCATTATGTGTAAATTGATCGTTACTTGGAATGCGAAAACAACAATGTTTGGGCATTCCGATGTTAATCATTAAAAAAAAATTAAAAAAATATTCTTAACCCCTTAATCTTTAAATTTTTTTCCTTATAAAATATTATAAGCATTTTATAAACTCTTAATTTTGAAATTTTTGAATTTTTTTATAAAATGTTATTGTAAAAAAAACATAATTAACAATACATAATCCCAAGCCTTAAAACAATATGTAATAAATTAAAATTAGCATAATTTAAGGTTGACCCTCCTAATTTTATAAATTATATAAAAAATTCTAATAAAAAAAAAGTTAAAAAAAAGTTCCAAGTTAAGGGGGTTAAAAATATTTATAAATATTTATAAGAAAAAAGTTAAAAAAAAGTTCAAGATTAGGAGGTTAAAAGTATTTTTTAAATTTTTTTAAAATATAATTAACAGCGGAATGCCAAAACGAAATTGTTTTGACATTTCAAATAACTCGTCAACTGAATTGACTATTACATATAACGGAGATTGAACAATTTAAATCGCATTTGCCCAATCTTCAATACTTTAGGTTTCAAATTACATGATGTGGTATTATGAGCCTAAAATTATCAAATTGCAATAGAATGTGAGCAAAATTAGCCATTCAACCTATTTTTCATTCAAATTGTAATATTATTTTGCAAGAAACAATATCATTTTATAAGAAATTTAAGTTTTTTTATTAAGTAATTCTAAGATAAGTTTTATTGATAAATTAAAATAATTTAAGAGTAAAATTAACATGAAAAGTAATTTAAGTGCAAAATTGAAATTATCCCAATAGTTTCAAAGTATATTTAATTTTTTTCCAAATAATAATTAAATCCTACAAATTTTAAGATTATTGGTATCACATCTTTCATCTTGCTTTTAAGACTTAGGCTTCTTGACAGGTAAATGGATTCGCCTAGACATGGTAGGCCTCAAATTTATTGGGCTTTCAAAAACCCTCACAATGGTACATTTCCATTATTACATTGTCTACATCCACCCGTATACTTTGAATTTGGGCATTTGAATGAATGGATCATGTACATTTGTCATAATCTGCAAAGGCTTGCAAGGCTTCCTTAAGTAGTTTAAGTCCACTCCCATAGACTCAAATAAATTATACATGGGGTAGACAGATGACTAATTTCTTTTTTCTTTTTTATTATTATCATCACCATTTATTTTATGATTCATTAGCATGTTCAAAAAACTTTATATTACATAATCAAAATAACCATCTTTCAATATATTATGATTCAAATTGCTCCGTACTTAAATTCTAAATCAAATCAAATTTAATATACATGCACATTCTATTCATTTTATAAAATCAAATTACTCAATGCTTAAATTATTAAATTTTGAATGGGTTTGTGTGGCCTAATAAGTAGCTCATTATGGATTAAAAATCAAAACGTATTCTGATACTAACTTAATTTTAAAAAAATGATGCTAACTTAATTAAAAATAATAATAAATTAAATCTCGTTTGATATCCCAAGTAATCATCATGACGATATTAATTATCAACTATTATACTAACTCGCAGTAGTCATAGCTCCAAAAACTTTCAGTTTCCTCCCATGGAAAGATAAAATCATGGCGACAAAAAACAGAACCGGCTGAAAAAAAAAAAAAAAAAACATTTCATTTCCCTCATAAAACGTACACAGTACAAGGAACCCAATTAGCCGCATTTCATGCCCACTAAGGCTTATTTTTTATTGCTCTAATACCATTCATACGTAAAGCCTCTTGTTTTTACAGTTTACAATTGCATAGATGCAACCTTAATCCCTTCCATATCGTGATGAAGGACTGAAAACACTTACTTCCTCCCTGTTGTTCTTTAGCCTCCTAGCATCTTCCTTCGAGATCTGAAATGAGTTTGCTAGTACTTCCTCTGGCAAGGACCGGATGGCAGAGAAACGCCCTGCCAACTGACTAATTTGTGCATTGTCGTTGGTTTTAAATGATACCCACTCCAGTCCTTGCCTTCCTGCCTTCTTCACAACTGCAAAGTTTTGTGGAGCTGTCACTACTTGACCCTCCCGAACCTGTCCATCAAATACTGTCTGGCCGTTGTCTCCAACAATCTGAATCCTTCCATTTCCCCTAGTGATGTACAATATGCTGTGGGCATTGATGTTCCAATGTGGTGACATCAAAGCATTCTGCAGCACATGTTCACATCCGAGTACAGCATTAACAAATTTGCAATAAACCAAGTATAACAAAAGATACTTGAGAAATATAATTTTTCAATGAAGGTTATGAAGAGATTCTTACAGGATAAAGAACGCCTCTCTCAGCACTAAGCTGAACGTATCGAAGGATGGGGAGATTGAGACTGTTAACTGTGGTGAGACGTCCTGCTTGTGGATTAAAGACATCGGCACGTTTTGGGTCATTGATGTTGTGCTTCAACCTGGCAGTGCAGAAAGTTTCCTCTACACCATTGCATCCAGCTCCATCTTGACTCCCTTGGGATTCAAATTCTTCTTCCTCTCGACTCTGTGGTGGACTTACCATCTGAAACTCACGCTGTGCTAGGACAATGATGCCTCTATCGTCATTTTCGTTCTTCATTCGTCTTGCAAGTCTTGTGTCAATGTTGAAAGCTTCTGCAAGGAGTCGCTCATCGAATCCATTGAAGACATTGTGATTTCTTTTTTGCGGGGATCTCCGCCTTGGGCCTTCATATTGCCCCCCACATTGGCCTCTCTGGGAGAACCTTCTTTGGCTTTGTAATTCTTGTTGTGGGTTACCAGCCAGGAAGAATTTCTGAAAATGGGATATGGAATTAAATATAATGCAATCACTTGCATGATTAAATATGTAGTTCTCGTTTTGGTAGAAATTTTTGTTTCTTACCCTGAAATCTTGATCAAGCTGGTTAGCAAGATTGCTTGTGTCGAGAAGTTGGATAAGAACAAGAGGGGAATCACCATTGTTATAAAACCAATCAGCAACTCCTGAAGGCAAGGCAACAACATCACCCTCTCTTACTTGTCGAACCTTCTGGTGTCGATCTTCAGTGCTTTGTCTTCGACCTCCAGAAAACGTGCTTTCTCTTCGATCTCTAGAAAACTGTCCTGATGATTGGAATGTCTCTGGACAACCTGGGAATACAGCTCCGTGCATACCTCTACCTACATTGGCCAGACAGAGATAATATTAATTGAGTGTAAATTTGAAATGCTACTAAAATATTAAGAAGAAAGAATTGATTGCATGCATGCCTTGTTCTACATAGATGAGCTTAGGTGCGTTAGAGTATGCAGGCAACAAGAGGCCTCGTTGGTTAATGTTATGGCGGATAACTACAACACCAGCACATTGAAACTGCTCATCATTTTCGTCCCAAATTTCAGTGACACCAGCCTCTGATTTGATCCTGCGAGCAGGCTCGAGGGCATTGATCCTCTGAAATTGGCATTCGCTCTGTTGAAACCGTCGTCGCCCTTGTTGTTGCTGGCCATATTGTTGCGAGGTCACTTGCTCTATTTGAGCAAAGCAACAGTTGAAGAGAATAAGAAAGCAAAGAGAGAGAGAAAACAAAGAAGTGGAAGCCATGCTTGTTGTAACTCGTCTTTATGGTGTGGTACGGGAGATTTAGGGGTTTGTATTTATAGGCAAAATCGTGGGCTGAGAATTTGGGACGTGGCGAAACCGGTCTGGACTCGAGTTTCTGTTGAACCCTTTTTGCATGTTAATTTGTCCTTTCGTTTTGCATGTCTGCAATGCTCTTTCTTGCTTACAGATAGATTTCGTTCATGGGTACGTGGTGTTGAATGTGTAGTTGTGAAGAAGTGCCAAATTCTTTCGTACTGGGGACCGTTGATTATTAATAGTTGCCTGTTTACGCAGTCTTTATTAGTTTTTTTTTAACCGATGCTATACTGCGGATCCAACACGATGTATAAAATTATTTTAGTTTAATATTATATATTATATTATACATATACTAAAATATATCAAATTAAAATTAAATAAAAATTTATTTAATTTTTTAATTTTTTAATTAAAATTTTCTATATGATTGATTATTCTTTATATTTTTCATAAATTTTTTATTAAAAAATATTATTTATTTATGTCTATCCATAAACTAAACAATTTCTAATGTCAAAATCAATAGATTCTTAGTTAAAAACTTATTTTATAAATTATTTTTAAAAATTTTTTATTCAAAAAATCAGAGAAAAATGATCAAATTGACCAAAATGAATCAAAAAAAAAACTAAAAACAAACAAAAAATATTTATGGACTAAAAAAATAACATTTAAAAAAAAGAGACTAAAGTAGAATACCAAAAAAACTTTCATAATAAATATTTTAAAAATATAAAAATATCATTACATTGTAAAAAAACAATACATATAAATCTTGGTGAATAATATAAATAAATCTAAATAAATAATGTTTTAAATAATATAATAAATAATAATCATATGTTTTAGGAAGCTTTTTTTAAATTGTGTTTATAAGATATTTGATGTTAATGGCGTGCATCACGTCCAATGGAGGCTGATGGACATGGAGGGATGTACAAGGACAGTTTTATGCATTTGTTCCTTGGTGCAAGTTGGGCTAGTTATTATTATTAAAAGAAACAAAAAGAAATGGAGTTTTTGAATAGTGATTTTCACTCTTGATCAAATCACTATTCATAGATTGTAGATTAAAATGATATTTTTATAATTTTAACTGTTTTTTGAACATTTATATTCAAAATTTACCTCATATCTTATTTCAATCCCTAAAGTCTTAAAATAAAAATTTAATCTCTAAATTGTTTCATCCCTAGGCCTGCTGCAGTGGCATACTTTTGCAGGCACGCAGACCTACCCCATTTTTTTTCTTTAATTTTTTTTTTATTTTTTTCACCAATTTATATTTTTTTATTATTGAATTGGATATGAAAATTATAAAAAAATCAATAACTATTTTTTCCCTTGACAAACTGACGATTATGAAATATATATGATATATTTTTACATTTTAAAACATATATATATCAAATTATATTATTTTTATTATTTAAATTGATCTCTTCATTTTTTTGTTTCTTATAAAAATTATCATTAAATTAATTTTTTATTCTTTTTTATGTAATTTTATTTATTAATAAATATAATTTATTTTCTCATATGTATAGATTTTCGAATAATTTTTTTTTAGTAGTGGATTTTATTTTCTTTTTTATATATATAATCAAATTTTAAAAATATAATTCACGTGTTTTATTTACTTATTCTTTATATAATCAAATTTTATCAAAATCAATTTTATAATTTTTTTACTGTACTCTACTAAATTCAATATATATTTTACAACTTAATTTTTTTAAAAAAAATTGATTTATGTTGCATGTTCTAACCCGATTAATACGGTCATGATGTATAAAAATTGTCCACATGTAATTATAAAAAAATATTTTTAAACATTAGAAATAAAAAATATATTGATATAAAATAATGATTAAAAATCTCTTTAATTTGTTTAAAAAATTAAAGAAAATGATTTTTTTAAAAAAAGAAGAAAACGGATTTAAAGTGTAAAAGTTTGTTATTGCATGCCAATGAACAAACAGATTATTGATGATGATAAGCTCTGCAAAATCCTTTTCACTATTATTGATGACGTTTTCTTGTTAAACTTATTTATTTTTTTAATAGAATGTAATAAAATAGAATATTTATTACATTAGTAATTTTGTCATCTCGAAATAAAATAGAGAAAACTAGTTGGTTGCCCGCACTACGTTGCGAGTCCGATAGAATTTACATTTTTTAATTATAATTTTTTATTTAATTAATTATTTCTAATGTTTTTTATAAATTTTTTTTATAAATTTTATCCTTAAAAAAATAAATTATTTTTCTTTATGGATCGATTTTAAAATAAAAAATTATAATAACTATATAAAAAAAAACCAAAAGAAGTGGGGTTGTTCCTATTCATTCACTGTAGCTACGCACTCAAAGTCCTTATTAATGCATGTGTTTTTACATCGTGGTTCCTCGTTCTTTAAGAGATAAATTAATTAGTCCCTTTATTCTGAAAACTAATTTTTTTTATCATTTTCACCATTTTACTATTTTTTTTCTTTCACCATTTTACTATTTTTATTTTTCTTTTAAGAAATAGAAAATATATATATATATATAATTCTTTGGGTAATAAATAAATTAATCCCTTTGGTTTGAAAACTAATTTTTTTTGTCCTTTTGGCCATTTCCATTTACTCCGATCCGCTCTCTCTCTCTCTCTCTCTCTTAAAAACCATCCATTCTTTCAGATTGAATGATATATATTAAATTCTTCGCTCGTGCATCGTTCTCCATTCTCCAATGAATAAGCTTTGCAACCTTCATTGCATTTGAGGTAATATAATTTGTTGACTAATTTATTCTCTTTCCCAACTATTAAAGTATTTATAGGAATATTATTATAGTTAATAATTATAATATATTATCATTATATTTTACAAAAAAAAATAAAATATAGTAGTGTTTTTTTGTTTTGGCTTTTTTTTCAACGCCCGGCCTCCTTTTGTTTCGGTTTCTATATTTGCGGGACTATTATTATATAGTCAAATATATTATTTAGGTCCTTATTTATTAGAAATATATATTTTTTAAATAATAAAATTATTTATAGTTAATAATTATAATATGTTATCATTATATTTTACCAAAATATATCAAATAATTATTATAAAATAGTTATTTGTATTTTGATTGTGAATATTGTATTTATTATACAATATAATATTTTTTATTATTTTATATTATGATATAAATAATGTATTAATATATTATTTTATGAATTTGAATATATATAAAAATTGCTAAGTATTTTAGTAGTATAATATATTTGATAATTATACCATATAACTAAATTAATATTACATTGTATTAGTTAAATATTATTTTAAATATATTGGTATAATAATATAATATTTATCAATAAATGATTTATTTAAATATCGATGATGAGTTGTCCCCTTTCTATATAAATAATTTTTTATATATTTTTCTTATCATGAAATTAGGTGTGAAAATATAAAAAAAAGATCTTTTTTTTATTTTACATATAGTTTGATAGTAATAGAATATATATGATATTTTTAAAAAATTTTAGTTTGAACACATATATCTAATTATATTATTTTTATTATTTAAAATTTATTTCTTCAATTTTTTGCTTCTTGTTAAAATTCTCATAGAATTAATTTTTAAAATTTATATGATTTTATTTGTTAATAAATTTGATTTTTTTATACATGGCTTTTGAAATAAAATTTTAGAACTCGATTGTTTTATTTTTAAAATATATTATTATAATTTATATGATTGATTATTTTTATGATTTTTCAATGAAAATGACATTGTTGCATATATAAATTATGATGAGAAAGAGAGAGCTAGAAGTGTATTTAAGATATTATTCTTAAAAAAAAAAAAGAAATAGGGTTTTTCCATTTCATTTACTCGTAGCATTTTATTTATTTATTTAGCGCCGGCCTTGAGAAGCGAGTCGGCCTTAAGAAGCGAGCTTCGAGCAATCGGCTTGACCCATTTTACTCGTAGTCTTTTTTTTTTTTTTTTTTTTAGGGCTGGCCTGGATAAGCTTTTTTTTTTATAGGGCTAGCCTTGAGAAGCGGGCTCAAGAAGGCCTACACAAGTAGTCTCAACCGAGTTTGCCTCTCTTTTTTTCCTTCTAATAATTTATTTTTATATTTTTTATCATAAAATTAGGTGTAAAAAATATTAAACGGATCATTATTTTTTAAGTTTTGCGTACAGTTTTACAATAATAAAAAATATATAATATTTTAAAAATTTTACTTTAAACATATATATTTGATTATATTATTTTTATTGTTTAAAACTTATTTCTTCAATTGTTTGTTTATATTTGTTAATAAATTTGATTTTTTATATATGGATTTCGAAATAAAATTTTAGAACTTGATTGTTTTATTTTTTAAAAATATATTATTATAATTTACATGATTGATTTTTTTTTAATGATTTTTAAATGAGAGTAGCATAATTGTATATATAAAATCTGATGAGGGAGATAGGCTAAAAGTATGTTTTAGTATTTTATTTAATTTTTTAAAAAATAGTAATCGGTTAAAAAATTAATTTATATACCAACTAGGTGCGACCACTGCTCTTTTTTTTTTTTCCTTCCTATAATTTACTTTATATTTTTAAAAGTATGACCACCAATCTCATGATAGAACAAAAAAAAAAAGTTGGCTAATTATTTTAAATCTTGATGTTTTTTAAGATTGGAAACTCTTAAAAGAATATACATATTGTCATATTATAACTGGATCTTCAACAAGTGATGTATAGGTTAAGCGATCATATATAATTGGTCTCTTCACCGAGAAAGAAAACACATATATTATTGGTCCATTTGATGTCTCCGAACGAATATTAATTATATCTTTGACATTGATGTTAACATACATATCCGATTATTTTATTCTTATTGTTAAAAAATATTTCTTCAATTATTTGTTTCTTATTAAATTTCTCATTAAATTAATTTTTTATTTAATTTTATTTTTTAATTAAATTTGATTTTTTAATATATGAATTTTGGAATAAAATTTTAGAACATCAATGTTTTATTTTTTAAAAATATATTATTATAATTTATACAATAAATTATTTTTATATTTTTAAATGACTATTATATATATATATATATATATATATATATATAGAGAGAGAGAGAGAGAGAGAGAGAGAGAGAGAGAGAGAGAGAGAGAGAGAGCTAAAAATATGTTTTAGATGGTTTGGCTCAATTTTTGTTTTTTAAATAATAATGAGTTTAAAAAATTTACAAGTTTTGTTTGCTTTCTTATATATATTTATTCAGAATTTATCAAAACCAATTTTGTTGTAGTTTTTATTTTAATCTATTGATTTCAATATATTTCTACAATTTAAGTGGTTTATTTATTTATTCTATACACTCTAAATCGTTATATATGTGTGTGTACATACATATATATGTATATATGTCATTAGTTTCGTTAAAAATTAACTATATATCGATTCGATTTATATTAATTATCAAAAATTAAAACTTTCTACTTATGTTACACTATATGAATCGTTAATCATATGTATGTAACGGTTGTCTACCCGCAACGTAGCGCGAGTATCCAACTAGTTTTAACTAAAATATTAATCAAGAGTTAAAAAAAAAAGCTTTAAAAATATAATTTCTATAGTACTGTATTCCAAAAAATAAAGTTATAATTAATGGATAAAATTTTAGAAAAATTAACAAATGAAAATTTTTTTTCTTATTTAATGCTTGGTGAGAAGATTAATTTTTGAAATTATTAATGTAACACTACAAGTAGATAGAACAAAATAAATTTCAAATTTTTATAATTTTTTCATTAATTTTTTGTTTCATTATAACTATTTTTTTGTGTTTTTTTCATAAAATTTCTACTTAGAAAACATGATTTATTCTTCTTTATTCAAGGACTCTTAAATAAAAACTTGTAATAATTTAAACCTGAAATATTAATTGAGAATTCAAAAACAAATACTTTAAAATTATATATTTTTTATAAGAATGTATCCAAAAAACAAAGTTACAATTAATGTATAGACTTGCATAAAAATTAACTAATGAAAAAATAAAATTTTATTCTTATTTAATGTTGGTGAAAAGATTTTTTTTTCTCAAGTATATGCATTTGATCTATATATATTTATTTACAAAATAATCAATAAAATTAGCATAAAAATTGAATTTGAATAATTAGTTAGTTTTTTTTAAAAAAATTATTTTAATTATTTTATTTCAAATAAATTGGTTCTATAATGTTAAAAAAAATTCATAGTAAATAATTTGTATTATGTTGGAAGATGTATAGTTAATTTTTAATATAAAACTAAGAATAAAAATTAACTTGATGTGAATTTTTTTAATAAATTGAAAAGATCAATTTTAAACAACAAGAATAGTGTATATTTATTCTAAAATCTAAAAACATATCGTATATATTATATAATCGTCGGTTTACGTAAAAAAAATAGTTATATTGGAAGATGTATAATTAATTTTTAATATATAAATAATAATAATAATTGACTTCATGTGAATTTTTATAATAAATTGAAAAGATCAATTTTAAACAATATGAATGGTATATATTTATTCTAAAATCTAAAAACATATTGTATGTATTATATAATCGTCGGTTTATATGAAAAAATAACGATTGATTTTTTAAAATTTTAACACCCGATTAAATAAAAAAAAGAACATACATTGATGGAAAAAAGCAAAAAAGAAAAAGAAAAAAGTGTGTAGTGCATCGGATAGGGGTTAAAATTTTTATTTTAAAATTCTAAAGACCAAAATGAAACAATTTATAAATTATAAAAAAAAAAAAACAAATTGGGTGAAGATTGTTTTGCAACAGTGAAACTCATTGTTTAAACACCGTATCTCTTTTAGTTATATAGCAATATATACTTATAAAATCTAAAAATATATCGTATATATTATATAATTATCAGTTTATGTGAAGAAAAAATAGTTATATTGAAAGATGTATAGTTAATTTTTAATATATAAATAAGAATAAAAATTAACTTGATGTGAATTTTTATAATAAATTGAAAAGATCAATTTTAAAAAATAAGAATAGTATATATTTATTCTAAGATCTAAAAACATATCTTATATATTATATAATTATCGATTTATGTGAAAAAATAATGATTGATTTTTCAAAATTTTAACACCCGAGTTAAATTAGAAAAAAACATAAATTGATGAAAAAAAAAACATGTGTAGTGCATCAGCTTGGGGGTTAAAATTTTTATTTTAAAATTCTAAAGACCAAAATGAAAAAATTTAGAAATTATATATATAAAAAAAACCTGGGTGAATATTGTTTTGCAACAACGAAACTTACTGTTTAAACACCATATCTCTTTTAGTTATATAGTAATAGTAATAGTGATGAGAGGGACCAGAGAATGTGGTTTGATGGGTCTCGAAATAAATCGAGAGGCGAAACTACACGCGTAGGAGTGTGATTATTACATATAAAGTAGAGCTGTTTTGGTCGTTGAAAAAAAGAAAGATTGGAAGTGGAATTATAAAATAAGGGGACAATTGCACTGTAAATATATTAGTTTTTATTTCTTTTAAATAGAATATATAATTTTTTTGTTATATAATTTTTTTTAAATTATCAACTAAGTATCTATATTAATTTTTTATTAAGTAACAATGTGTCTGTTATTCCAGAACACCGAATTATAATTGTCTTTTTTTCAATTGAATAAATAAAATTTTTTTATTTTAATATATTGATTTTTTTTAAAATATCAATCAAATACTTATGTTAATTTCTTCATTAATTGATGAAAGTGTTTGTTATCTTCCAAAATAAAAAATTATACCTATACTATTTTTTTTGTAGGAGAAAACTTTTTTTTCAAATTATTCTACAATTTTAAAACTTGACAAAGAATTAGAAAATGTTATTTTTAGTTGTCAAATTGTAAATAACTCCATTTAGGTCTGGGTATGAAAATTAAAAAAAAAAACACAAATATTAGATTTTTCATCAAGAAAATTCACTACATATAAGCATTTGAAAAAAAAATTTCCTCAAATAAAAAGTAAAATTATAATTTGATATTTTAAGGATAATGAATGCATTATCAACTAACTGAAAATTGATGAAAGTATTTGATTAACTGTTTTAAAAAAATTGATGTATTCTAAGAAAAAAATAAAATTCATATGCTCTATTCAGAAAAAAATTATAATTTTGTATTATGAATAGTGAAAATATCATTAGTTCATGATGAAATCAATTAATATATTCGATTTTTTGTTTTGAAAAAATTAATGTATTTAAATAAATATTAAAATCTATATATTTCATTAACAAAAAGTAAAAAATTAGTATGTTTATAGTATAATTATCCGTAGGAGAGAGGGATATCACCTCTCCTGCCGCCGCACAATTACAAACCAAGGAGAATTTTCCAAAAAAAAAAAAAAAACTCAAGGGTCTTTCTATAATTCACTAATCAGCACTTTTAACCATGCACTCTCACAACTGACCACTCGGTATCCAACACGTGTCATCTAAATTCAATTATTGTTGAGGTCTCAAGTCTCAACACGTCTCATTCATGAGTGCCAGACAATAAATTAAAGGGCATTGTAGTGTTCTGACACGTCCGCCTCTCCAGAAACTTCTGTTACTCTCCCCGTAATATAAAGCAGAGCTTCTTGCCTTTTTCCTCTACTTTTAAGAAGGGTAAAACACCGTTTTTGGCTCTGCATCTCTTCTTTTGCTCACCGTTCAAGTATAGAAACACAACAATCTCAGCCTGTTATTCTGGTTAGGGTAAGTTCGTGACTTTTCTTCTATCACTTCAATCTTTTCGTTTGTGATTTTCATTTTCAATTTCTTTATGAATCCTGATTAAGGATCCTAGAAGGGAATTAATTGAGTTATTGATTGTTATTAATTGTTTGGAATTATCATTTGATTTTGATAATGAATCTCGTGCTTGGAATTTATGGGGATGATCTCTTTAAATAGGAAAAGATTACAATATTTGTGGATGAATTTTGATGCACACAATATTAAATTAATGAAAAATCTGAATAAGTTAAATCATATTATAATTAACTGAACTATTAGATTTACTTGGATGCTGTTAAAAATATTTGATATCGACTCAAAAAAAAAAAAATTTGGTTTAGAAATCGGGAAAATATCCGATGTTTAAGTAATTAGTCATAGGGGTTGTATTCGTTTATTAATGTTTGTGTTTTCCTATCGATTTTGGTCCAGATGTCGTACTCTAGAAGGTCGAGGTATTCCCTTTCGCCCCCGTACACGCGAGACAGCAGGTCTGTCTCCCGATCGTTGTCGAGGTCAAGGTAATATCTTGTTTCTTAGATGCATACCAATCTGACTGCTTTGTGGCAGTCTCTCAATATACTGTTATCTTTAGTCTATGTCTGTCTAATGTTTTCCTTGCTTCTTTGTTTTGTTTTGGGTTGTAGGAGCTCCTCAAGAGATGTGGAGAATCCTGGTAACAATTTGTACGTGACAGGGTTGTCACCGCGGATCACCAAGAAGGAACTTCAGAAGCATTTTGCTGCGGAAGGAACGGTAGGGATACCATGCTGTTGTTTTTCCTACTTATTTCGGAAATGCTATCATTTCTTTGTATAATAAAAGCTTTTGTTTCTTATGTACTGTTTTCAGCATTAACTAATCAAGAGCTGTGATTTTTTCTAGGTGATTGATGTTCATCTTGTCGTTGATCCATGGACAAGAGAATCTCGTGGCTTTGGGTTTGTTACTATGTCTAATGTTCAGGAGGCTGATCGTTGTATCAAGTATTTGGACCGCTCTGTTCTTGAGGGCCGTGTCATTACAGTGGAGAAGGTAAAATCTTCATTTGTTTAATTCTTGAGGAGTGGTCCGGCCTTTTGCATTTTGGTTACTTTGCTCTATTTCAATTTCTACACGAGTTCTGGATGTGTATTAGTTCTTATGAGATTGAAAGTTGTTTGCCTCTTTCTACTTGAAGCTTCTGTGGCAGCAGGTCAGCTGTGTGTAGCAGCTCTTCATCAAACTCCAATAAACAAACAAATCAAACACATCATCAAGTGTCAGACTGTTAGGGTTGTATGCCCTGAATTTCTCTCTTCTTAGCTATTAAATCACGTGCAATTTTAATTTATCATATAATATTGATTTTGTTTGATATATGTTCAACATATTTTTGATATTCTAAATAAGAAAACAGTTATTTTAACATACACTTTTTTTATATTTGCAATTCAATGAACTCATTTCTCCAATTTGTTGCAGGCTAAGCGGAAGAGAGGACGGACTCCTACTCCTGGAAGGTATTTGGGGTTGAGAACAATTCGTGGTATGATGACTTGCGCATTGTAATTTAGTTATGTGCTGGCTTGTTCGTTGGTCCTTGTATGTTTTTTCTCTCTCTCATGTATTTTTATTTTTTTCTTTGTTTCCTGTAGTGCGTCACTGGACACCTAGTAACTCTCCTCGTCGATCTCCTAGCTACTCTCCTTATCGGAGGAGCTCGAGCCGGTCACCCTGTTATTCATCTGAACGTAGCAGGAGTAGATCCTACTCCCCACATTACCGTCGACGCAGGTCATATTCTCCTTATTACTATAGCCGTCGACGGTACCACTCGCGATCTCGATCCCCATACAGCAGGTCCCCTGTCAGCAGGCGTGACCGGTCCTACTCACCTTATTACTCAAGGCATTACTCACCAGATGACAGATACCAACCTTATTACTCGAGGCGTTACTCACCAGATGACAGATACCAACCTTATTACTCAAGGCATTACTCGCCATATGAGAGATACCATAGAAGATACCGCCATTGCTCTGAATCTCGTAGCCCTACTCCACGAAGGGCTCGGAGGAGCTATTCACGAAGCATTTCACCTAGGCGAAGGAGGAGCTCAAGGAGGAGTTCAAGGAGGAGCTACTCGCGCAGTGTGTCCCCTGTCCCAAGGAGGAGCTCGAGGAGGAGCTACTCGCGCAGTGTATCCCCTGTCCCAAGGAGAAGCTATTCACGCAGCATATCCCCTGTCCCAAGGAGGAGCTCAAGGAGGATCTCGAGGAGGAGTTATTCTAGAAGTATTTCTCCAAGTTCAAGGAAGAGATCAAGGAGGTCAAGACGATACAGCTACTCTAGGAGCCGCAGTGCAAGTTGTACTTCCAGATCTATCTCTAGGTCTGTCACCCCTAGCTCGGCTTCTCCGTCTCGTTGAAAGTAAATTGAGGCTGTCGTGTTAGATCATTGGAAAAAATCGAGGCTCGAGTAGGTATAGGTATGTGGAATCTGTCAGTTGAGAGCTATAGGTTTAGGCATGGGTGGATAATATTAAGCGTATGAGTGTCTGTCGTATATCCAACCGCAGTTCTATTAAGTAATGACTATTGGCTTATTAGTAATCCGAGACGGTCCCCTTTTGCATTTTTCTTAACGCATGATGGATATTAAAGTGTTGTATTGCAGGGAATTGCCGCCATCCAATTTCGGCAAGAAATGCTCCATCATCCCAAACGGTTCAGTAACAGCTAAAATCATATCAAATAGAGCCCTTACCTAACCAGCCTCTTACATGATAGCTTCCATATAACAAGGCACCCGTTGTCTTATTTACGCATCCCCAACCAGATTGCTAGTGTGTCTCCATAAGAAGAGTGAAAAAGGTAATGCCTTTAACAGTTTTAACCATTTGCCCTTCTTCTGAATATAATCTTCAGAAACAATTCACGGAAGGAAAATGATTTAGAATCAATTTTTATACTAAAATTTTATATAAACTGTGATAAATGGATAAGTGGTGTGGATTTCGCAACTCATAGAGAGGACGCAGATGGTTTTTGGAGTAAATTATAAATTAGTGAATTAATTAGTTTTTTTTTTAAATAATTATTTAATTTTTATGTTTTGAATTTTATTTGTAATTTTTTTTAATTTAATTTATTTTTTACTTTCATTTGATATTTTAGTATTCAAATTTGACCTGAAATTGTTAAATTATAATATAACGAAAATAATTTTTGCCAACCGTTTATAATAGTTGGAGTTTGATATAATTATATATAAATAAATCAATCATTAAATTAAGTTAATAGTTATTAATTACGTTCCAGTTGCATTTCTCGATATTGTTGTTATAAGTAGCCGCAGAAAATGGGCTTTACACTATTTCGATCGACCTTCTTGATACTCCCATCTTGTTGGCCAGTTGTTGATTCTCATTTAAACATTTCAATCGAACCATTGTGCTGAGATCGCAAAGATTTTATAGCCCTTTGTGCTTGTTAAGTTGGTGCTCAGTTAGGCGTTACGCAGCTAAGCTAACATGATTGATGCATATGGTTCTATTGCCCAAGTTTCGTGGCTCTAAGCTAATTCTGACAACAAAATCATTTCTTATCACCCGAGGTTAAAAGTATGATGATTGTCACGTTGGGGCCGACACTCGGAGGCAAGATTGGGGGCGGGGCGGGGCGGGGCGGGGTGGGGGGTGTTTTCTACTGTAGATAGATCGTAACTCCTTGGTAACGAAAACGGCGTAGTTTTGGTTGTGGGTGTAAGGGTAAACCTGCTTGACCAATAATTACATTTTATACTATCTGTCCGGGGAGGACAAAATTTTTGCCTCATTCCAGGCCAGGGGATCATTTTGTAGGCATTTTCTGGCTGAGAAAGCATAAACGATTCAGATTGGTTAAGCAGTCATTACATGGACGATGTAAATCATGCTGTCCTACTGGTTTTCTCTTCTTTCTTTTGTTTCGTGCTCCGCACGTGATTTGTGTTGTTTTCTATTATTCGAATGAGTAAAATGATAACATTAAATACTAATGGATAATTTTATAATTTTTAAGGTAGTAATCATTTAAAAGCATTCTTGTATCGCAACGCCATTAAACATTATCGATTATTTATTTTTCATTCTTTAACTTTTTCTTCAATCATTTTAATTCTTCAAGCATTCTTGTATCCGCACATGGATCTGTTGACCGTTGCTCTACAACTCCATTGTTGCAGAGTGTGATGGCTGTCAAACACATCCTCTGTTCCTTTCCCCTACCATGAGAAATACGTGTTTTCTTATTTGAATTACTCTTGTTTTTTCCTTCCTTTCTTCCATCAAGCTACAACGGATAACCGCATAATGTAAATATATAGACACCATTACTTGCTAGAAGAGTAAAACGCTGTGGTCAAATATAACAACTATAGCTCATAAGAAAGAGTATCAAAGAAGCATAGCATCTGGTTTATTGACATTTTTCTACAGGTTCATGTTTTGATAGAAAGATATGGTTCCTGTCTTGCCATCTTCGCATTTTTTGCTCGCTTGACCGGACTACAACCATATACATAATAAATTGAACGACAACATGTGGTTGTAGTAGCAATTATGGTACCCGGCACTCCTCTATGTTCCAAATCTCCTTTGCGTATTGGGAAATTGTCCGATCGCTGCTGAATTTACCACTGCCAGCGGTGCTAAGAATAGACATCTTCAACCACCTCTTGCGATCCCTGCAAGCAACATACAGGCAAATGTTGGAGGTCAAGAGACTCAGGACCAGCCTGTAACTTTCGAAGTCAAATAATTTCTCTAGCACAAGAGAGTAGCAGAAGTTAAGTGTATGCGGAGGAATGGGTTTTTTAACATTGTCTTGCTATTTCTATTATCCATTTTAGTTCTTGCATTTGGTTTTGGCCAACACTTTCTGGCTTCTTTTGTAGTCTGCAATTCTCATAATAAATAACTGAAAATATTGGCAAAGGAGTTGGCTTTCTAACTATGCTTGAGCTATTGAGTCGTGACATATTGGTCAATCAGCTTAAGCAATATTGGATATAGAGCCATGACTGAGAGAATAAAAATCATGTCAAGGAGTTGCAAAGAATTTTTAGTTTGTTGATTGGATGCTTTATCACAGTTAAAGACATAATAATACTGCAATATTAACCTTAAACAGAAAGACTAATGAAAAACGAAACCAGGGAAAGCAAATTCCTTACTTGTAAGCTTCATCTACTCTGTCCTGCGCATCCATGTAGCTTGGGAAGTCATGCCCAACAAGAAAATAATCTCCCCGACCATAACCAGAGTTGCCTTCTAGAGAGTCAAGAAGTGGGTTGTAGTCATAGCTTCCAAATGCTCCACTTCTTATAAACTGCTTGGCCTCTTCAAATCGAGGATCTGGTTTGAACTGTGCAATCAGCAAGGACTAGTATTAGACAAGGAAATAAGATCCTATCCCAAATGCCTAGAAACACCTGCATGCTAAAGCTATACAGGAAAGGTAGGAAGTTACATTGAGCATTATATTCTTCATCCTTTTTTCACAAGGAAGTCATCCAGATTGCTTCTTTTGAAGCAATGCAGGCAGTCAGACACTAGTCTCCAGTTACAAAAAATTTAAGGAAGCCCCTTGCAAAGAGATATTAAATTGAAAAAATGACTCTTTTTAGCAAGTAACATCTCCAGTATTGTTTTATCATTTTTGACTTGTTACTAAAACCTACTGCTCTGGTTAAGCTTTTGGCTCTAGCAAGTTGCAGTTCAAGTCTTCAAGATTGATATAGCTCCATTGACTATGACAAGAAGTAATCTTTCAATCAATAGATGCCCTTCATAGATTCTTCATCAAGTATCCAGCAATTCAATTATACATACGAATGTTTGTTGATCTGAAATTGCCAGTTTCTTACCAATCCATTCTCTCTTTCCTTGCGCAGTCTGGGGACTTCATCTGCTGTTGCACCAAAGAGAAAGAAATTCTCCTCTCCTATTTCTTCCCTGATTTCAACATTAGCCCCATCCAAGGTTCCTATTATAAGGCAACCATTGAGTGCAAACTTCATGTTGCTGGTGCCACTTGCTTCCATGCCTGCAGTGCTGATATACTGTGACAACTCACTTCCTGGAATAAGCAACTCCGCCACAGATACATTGTAATTTGGAACAAATACTACCTGCAAATTCAGTCATTTACAGTATATAGGTCTAAATATGCCATATGGATGGAAACAAATATTCATTAAGTACATATGCAAACCAAAATCTCATTTAGCAAGCTGAAACACAGAAACACACTGGCTTGCAAAATAAAAATAGCAGAAGCACAGAAAGAAGTTAATCAAGGGATAAATGCAAGAAGAGAAGGTTAACATCTGAAGATCCCAACATGTCTCAATCCTTATGGGAAAGAGACTGTTGGGTTCTTTTTTCACAGACTAAAGAAAATTCCAATACTGAGGGGAGAAAACATGTGCAACCCTTCCCAGAAGGGAAACCAACAATCTAAGTAAATTGCATAACACAGCTTATATACAGAAGCAACTAATAATAATTAAAACGATATACAAGCTTTTGGGAAATCCAAATTCAAAGTGGATTGGTCTGATTGGAAATCTGTTCCATTTAAGACTACATGATTCGGTATATTGCGGATCCACTATCAGTGGGACTTTTTCGTGTTGACACTTTTCCAATCTAAGGTCAACTGGTTCAGCCAATCTGGATTCTTGACTTGCGCTCAAAGTTTTAATCCCATAATATAATGGCAAAACATCATTTTTGCCAACAGGGTAGGTGCCTTGTTTTCCTGCTGCTGAGATGAATTTCAGCATATGCAGAAGGTAAAAGCCTTACAAGTACTTTAAGAAAGATCAGATGTTAAAAAATTACCTTTAAATAACTATTGACCTCAGGATCACTATTAACAACAGCACCAACATCATCTACCAGCTTAACTATTCTTTTAGCATTTGTATATGTTGCAAATGCTTTTCCTCCAATCATGATGGTACGTGGAGTTGTAGTCTTCCGCTCTTCAGCGCTCATCTCCTGCCATAGTTCAGTTTAAAGAAAGTTCAGAGATAGCCAGTGCATATTCTATCTCCAACCACACAGTGGTAAGAAAATAGAGGAATTTAACAACCACGACCACAGATGATATCATCATGGTAACAAAATACAGCGAGTAATAGGTGAAGTTGTACAGGTGAATTACAATGATGACAATTCGTTACCAGTGCAGAAATAACCTTATTTTGGTCTACAAACTGTTTAATTCGAATGATAAGCACAATTCACCAAGGAAAAGGATGTTTTGTATTTTTGTACCTTTAGTTTCTTGTACCTATATATTGCACCCAAAATATTCAGCAACTGTCTCTTATATTCATGGATGCGCTTGACTTGTATATCAAAAAGACTATTTGGATCAATGCTCACACCTGTTGCTCCCAATATGTACCGTGCTAAACGCAATTTATTAGCCATCTTGGCAGATGACCATTCCTCTTGGAAGTCTGAATTTTCAGCAAACTATTGGAGGAAGCATCAGTATTAATCTGGATCCATTACAATAGCAAGAAATCATCCCATGTACAGTAATCACACAAATTATAAATACTCACCTCTCGAAGACCTACAAGTAGGTCAAGGTTGGTAACCCACTGCTCAGTTTTCAACCATTTCGTAATTATATTACTGAGCTCAGGACTGCAAAAGCGAAGCCACCGGCGAGGTGTAACTCCATTGGTTTTATTTTGGAACTTTTTTGGCCATATGGAGACATAGTCTGCAAATAGCTCAGCCTTCAATATATCACTGTGTAACTGAGCAACACCATTCACCTATATGTAAGAAACCACAAAGTAAAGAATGTAAGGATTTCACAAAAAAAAAAAAAATTATTAAGAGTTTCAGATGAAGCCAGGTTTTTAGAAGCGGCTTGTATGTGGATGTACAGGGGCCCAACAAATCATAAAACATCCTACTTTAACAGAAGCACGACTAACATGTAAAGAAACTACCAACAAGCATGTGACACACAAGAAAGAAGCTACTAGCGTTATGTTGCAACACTAGGCATTTGGACTTCCATTTATAGTAGTGATGATTTTGTTTTCTAATCAAGAGAAATTTAGATTTAAGGTGGAAGATCTACACTCAGTGAGAAATTATGGCATGCCTATTTCAAACAAGAGATCGCTTATGTTTGCAGTTGAAGGGTGACCAACAATCCTATCAGACCCCCTTCATTATCTGGAGGAGTCAAGAGACAGCTAATGGATATAGCGAGCTACTGTGTGATTATATTTCCAAACAACCTCTTACCGCATGTGAAGATACCACACATAAATTTGCCATTCGCACAACTGGCTTCTGGGGATTATTATCCAAGATGCACATACTAGGAAGTTTGCTCTGAAGATCAATTCGAGTGGTGCGAATCATTGTAATGAACTGCAAGATTTTCGTACTTTTTATACCCAGATCACAATGCTGCAAAAACAGATGTGGAGAAAAAGAAAAAGGGGGAAAAGTGATATACCCTCTTGTCTATCTCTTCTATGATTTCCATATGCCGAGGAAGAAGCTTCCACATCACAGATTGTGACCATTTTTCCAGGGCTTCAGGAAGGACTGTATGATTGGTGTAAGCAATTGTCCTGTTTAAAATATTGATGGTAAATGTTCAATGAACCAAATAAGAATATGCATGGCAAGACATGACAAGAAATTGCAAAAGGAAAATATCGTTGGAAAACAAAATTAAGTCATAAAAATCAACAGAAAAGGCACCTAGTTGTGACATTCCAAGCTTCATCCCATCCAACTCCTTCATTATCCATCAATAATCGCATCAGCTCTGGAATTGCAAGAGTAGGATGGGTATCATTCAATTGTACTGCAACCTTGCTAGGAAATTCAGACCACTTCCATAATCCCTTATCATTTTTCCTCTCCTTAAATCTAAGAATAATATCCTGCAATTGGTTCCAACATCAAGATTAACTGTCATGAAGATTTGAAGCACAAGGAACTAAACTTTATAGTTATTGCATTTCAACAGAAAAATATCCTTCAGCCGATATCACAGTAGTGCCTTTCAGATAAAAGACATTGCGTGACACTAAAGTGAGTTACAGTTAAAAAAAAAAATTGGATTAAGTTCTCTATAGTCAACTGAACTTCACATCATTTGAGAACGAAAAACAGCACAAAATCCTAGCAAATGTTAATTTTCTCCTGGAGCAATAAATAAAAGAACCCTGGGTTTCTTTGTACATGGAAGTTAGCATTCCATTGATTTGATTCAGCATGCACTACGGCTGATTGCAGACTCCCTTTTGAAAAAAAGTGGCTGCTGTAGCCTTTCATGAGGTAAGATTCAGTAACATTTCCACACGCACGCACACAAAAACTGTTAAGTGCCACTACCTGATATGTCCTGAATGCAACATTTCAGAGAAATTCTGGTAAAAATTTTGCACAAGTATCTCCTAGACCCCTTTTCCTCTCATCACTACTTTCATGGCATTATGGCAGACTTAGATGCTCAGGCATACATAAAACTAAGATGGATGAAACCACATTAACAACACAAAAGAGGAAGGAACATCAAACATAAGTTGCCCACCTGAAGTGAAGCACTGCACAGAAAGAATTGTTGCTTTAGTCGCAAAAGCTTTCCATTTTCTGTGGCATCCCCAGGATAAAGAACAGCACAAATCTGCATATGCACAATTTTAAAACTAGTGCTTCAGAAAACATGTGAAATCTGCACAGATACACATACTTTATCGAATGATAAGCACAGCTGAAAGAATGCTAATCTGTAATAAGCAACAAACTGACAAAAAGAGAGAAGCAAGGTCCAATTTAGTTTTCTTCTGTTCTTAAAAAATAAGTGGAAAGTGCTGGCCAGGACATCCTTTCTGATGTGATAGTTGAAAACCAACCTGCTGAGCTCGAGAATGAAGCTGTGAAGCAGATTCATACTGTCCATCATTGAATAGAAATAGATTGAAGTCGTCAGAAGAAGCTCTTGCTTCCCAGAGACGAAGACTAATGGTGTTCTTGGTTTTGTATCCTGGAATTGGCACATCATAGGCTAGAGCTTGCATAATGTCACCACCAACCCATTTTCGGCTGTTTTTATATACAACATGAAAGAATCATGTAGTAAGTTCCATACCTTAATAAAAGCAAAATGAACATAAGCACGAGAAAGAAAAGCAAACTAAGAAAGTAATTCCGGTCCGTTGATCCATGAAGAAAACCCGAAACCGCATTATATTGAATGATACTCTACTCAATTCTTTTTAATAATAATAATAATAATAATAATAATAAAAACACAATCAAATTAGCACTTACGATCCATCGGGATTAACCTCCACATGACCAAAAAATCTGACAGGAAATACAACATCATGCCTGACAACTTCCCAAGGACTGAACTTCTGCATAAGTCCAGTCAAAATAAAGCATCAACAGCTTTCTACAAAACATGCAACATTTTGACTACAGTTAAAGACCCAACCAAACAAACCTCAAGCCAGTCCTCAGCAATTTCTTCTTGGCCCTCTTTGGTGATCCGCTGCTTGAACAGCCCATATCTGTACCTCAGACCATAGCCCCATGCTGGCAAATTCAACGTGGCCATCGAGTCCAAAAAGCACGAAGCCAGTCTTCCTAGACCCCCATTTCCAAGAGCCGCATCTTTTTCCTACAAAATTACATTACTAACAAAAATTAACTTCAGGCATACTTTAACTCAATTAGTGAAATGTTAAGGCTTCTCTGAACCTGAACTTAACTCCCGATCGGCAAATGCAAATTAATAAATTACCCCTCAAGATAATTCACCAGCTCACACGAGTAACTAGAGTCACTTTGGCCATGTTCGGTAGAATTCCCGATTCCATTAACTAAAACTTATATTTAATTTTTTTAAAAAAAATATATATCTACTTGACATTTCTTGTGGAATATATTTATATATTTTTTTAATTTGTATTGGCAATTGAATTAGCATTTCCAAATAATTCAATTCAACGAATTATTAAAATCCAGTAATTAATAATAGAAAGTTTGATTGAGAGAAGAAGAGAAGAAATGATTACCTGCTCAACAATTTCCTCAAGCTGATGCCCTAACTTATTCAAAGCCTCACCATAAGCATCTCGAATGTCAAGATTCCCAATTGCATTACTCAAAGCTCGTCCTTGAAGATATTCCATTGACAGATAGTAAGTCTGCTTTGGATCCTCTTTGTGATAATGAATGTAAGTCTCATTCCATTGCTGCACCACCACTCAAACGATCAACCAATATATCATCAAAAAAAAAAAAAAAACAGCTTGCCAAATTAATAACAATGATAATAGTTGGTTACTTGAACGAGGCGATCGCGGACGCTTTCAGCAGTGGCAAAGTAGGCTTGTTCAGGTTCGAACTTGAAAGGAGAGAAATGAGGACTGAATTGCGCATGGTAATTTATATTTGATGCTACCTCTTCTGGTTCACCAGCTAACGGGCGTGCGACTGGAGGAACTTTAGAAGAAGAAACGGCAGATACTGTTGCTGTAGTAGTAGCACCAGCGCCGTTGGATTTAACACTAGTAGTAGCCATTAGTGATTCTCCAACTGATGATCAATCGGCTTTTCAAACTTTTAAACGAAAATGAAAAGGCGAATGAGAAAAGAGAGAGAGAGAGTTTTTGGCTCTGAGCGGAGCAAGTTGAAGAAAAATGAAGGGGAGGAGATATTTTTATTTTTTTTGTAATAGAAAGGTGAAGTAGAATTGAGGAAAAGGGAGGATAAGAGAAGATATATTTATTTATTTATTGATTTTATAGAAAGGTGCAGTAGAATTAATGAAATGTGAGAATATGCGAAATGGCTGAGATTTTTTCAAGGGAAAACGGACAAAATGTGAATGGCACGGCGAAGGGGAAAAAATCTGAGTAAATGGAGAAGAGACGAGAGATGTTTCTTTCTTTCTTTTTATTGATTTGCATCTAAAGTCACATCAGCGAGTGAGCGCGTATGGGAGTGAGTGAAGGGTTGGCAGGCGGAGCACGTTATTGGAGATAAGGGAGGCGGGTCTCTGTAAGGGACACGTGGTGGTATTGTGTGAAAGCGCAAACGCCTAAGATGGCTCCACTTCCGGATCTCAAAATTATTTAACACTCCACTCTCCACGGCCACAGGTCCTCACACAAGTGACGCGAAGTAGAGAACAGATGTGTCACTGGTTTCTTGGAGAATAGCCGTAAATGGTTAAATCAAACCTTTTGTCACTCGCTCGTGATTTTGATTCCATGTACATAGCAAAGTTCTATTTCCCTACTTGAATCATCCGTCTTGGAAGCTTTAGATTCGCAGCTTGATTGTAGCATTCAACAACCCATTAACTTATCATGGCGTTTCTGTAGGAACAGACAGAAAGGCTGGCATGGAGAAAATTCAGATGCAGGCAGGATTTGAGATATCGTTCAATAGTGGAGAGTTCGAATGACGATTAAACAACATTAGCTTAGAGCGAGGTCACTGATGCCAAAAGATATTGCAAATGTCAAAGGCACAGCATGCAATTCAAGAATTTGGATTCTATACAGCCTGTTCACTATTACTACGAGAGCATACAACATGAACGAACCATCCACTTGAGACGGGTGACATAAACCAGTGAGCTTGCGGCTCAGTTGACTAGTCTCGTGTACTCCTCTCACAAAAAGTTTTGGCGGTTCTTTTGTCAGGAAAAAGAATAGGTTCATCTATCTTTCATTCCTACGAGCATAAATATCATGCATAGGATACTTTCTTCTATATGAAATTTACAAAAGAGAAAGAGAAAATAGTCGACAAGCAGATCCCACAAATTACCCCTTCATGCAGAAAAGAATTCATAGCGCTCACCAGCTTCAATACCAAATACTTCTTCTCTATTCTTCTTTGCATCTCTTCTAGGAAAGTCTGCAGATTGGTGAGAAGTGGAAGCAGAAGAAGAAGATGTACCACTTGCTCTCAAGTCTTTTCGAATTCCCCATAGCACCTCACCGCATTCCTTCATGAACGGCCTTGATTGTTTCGCAGGTGCCAGGCACCGGTGTGCTAATTTAAGCACCTTCTCTAGTGCCATGGTTGATCCAGGACTCCTCCTCAGTAACGGGTCCATGACAAAGATGGCATCTCCTTCTTTTAATCTCTGCATCGCCTGCACATAAAAGATGTTTTTGTTCATTACTTCTTAATGTTATGATGTCAGTATCTTTGTATGATCGTATTCTCATTAATCTACATGCAGCAATAGTATCTGGATGTCCCATACACAAGAAGTGGATTATTTTGAACTAGCTCTTCCTGTGCGCTGTTCATCATACTACCTATACAATCCACATAACTTCCATTGACAGGCCAGTTGCCTAATATTGCATCCCCAATCCTATGAACACATTAAATTGTTTCAAACAAGAATTTTAATATAATTTTCCCTTGATATTTATGTACTGCAAAGTTTTTGTCAAATTTTAAATAGAACCTGGCCAACAGAGGTTCTGGGTTAAGGGAGAATTTGTAGGTCCTAACCAAATGAATGGAGCTAACTCAGCTGGGAATTCAGGAATAACTTTGTGGATTATTTGGTACAAAGGCATAGTTGTAGCAGAAAATGAGTCGACACCTTCGTAGCAGAGGAATTTTCAAAACTCATCTCCGGCATGAAAGACAGATGAACAAAACGATCAAGCAGCTTCAGAACTTGAATCCATGCATCATCCATCATTTCTCTTCCCTATTGTCAAGAACTTAAACAACATTTTTTCTTATATTTGTAGTGGTACTATTTATAATTTTTTTTTCCTTCTTTTGTCGAATGCAAGCACCTTCTAATAGAAATGTTTCTAAAATGTGATCAAATCTATTTGAACCAGGCATGAATGCTATATAAATTTTGATGGAGTAATCAGCTTTAGTACTTGCAAGTTGCAACACTGCTGTCATGCAGGCATTAACTTATATACAAGAATCAATTGCCTAACATATGCGAACTCAAAGATCTAATTTAGAAACTAAACCAAGCTGTCCATGTTCCCTAAACTGATAGAACGAACTGGATAGCCCTGACCGAAAACTCTAGTATTCCTAAACTCTTGGCGACAGAATGGCTGCAATGTGTATGGAGATGAGTGTTGATTCATAATTTATCATATCTGAAGATGAAGTAATCGGGGATGCTCCTATACTTACCCATTTTATGGTCACTCTCTCTTTTATTGGTCTCTTCTGTTCAATCGGGTGTCTTCCCGTCATCAGTTCAACAAGCAGCACACCGAAAGAGTAGACATCACTCTTTTCAGTGAGTTGATATGTCCTCAAGTATTCAGGATCCAAGTAGCCTGTTGTTCCTTTGACTTGAGTAGAAATGTGAGTAGCGTCAGAGCCTTCTGTGGTCAATCTCGCGAGACCAAAGTCTGCCACTTTGGCACGGAGTTTCTCTGTGATGAGAACATTTGATGCTTTTATGTCTCTGTGGATTATTGGAGGATCTGTCAATTAAACAAGTGAAGTTCAGATTTCTGAAAGCTTCTGTGGTCCAACATATGAATCATGAAAATGTGCCAAATAAGCGAACAGATACACATCTCAAAACTGTTCTGCTGACTTTATGAATAATGTTTTTATGTCCAGAGCATAATCACACAGGCTGGAAAATTTCAACCAAGCTAGCTACTTAGAGTTGAAATTAGAAATCAAGAATTGTTCTGTCATGCTGCTGCTCATGTTGTATGATTGGATCAGATCAGCACTAATTTTGAATAAAAATAAGCTCTTACCTGTATACGTGTGAAGATAAGTGATTGCATGAGCCACATCAATTGCAATATCTAGCCGTTCAGCAATTTCAAGTATGCTTCCTTTTGTACCTGCATCACGGCATGCCATCCTAAACGCATTAGTGAATAATTACAGAAGCACCTTTTCTGCTGCTGTAATCCATTTTCATTTGATTGTTAAAAGAAAAGGGAATTGGTGCAATTGAGGGATATAAACTATAATTGTTTAAGCTTCTGGTATTGCAATCTGCAATTGTAGCATGATCACCATGCATTAACAGTTGAAAAGCATTTAAGGGCTTGTACCCTGTATCTGTTTTTCTGGATCTTACAGCCTAAAATCCATTTGTCTGAATTTGACAACTAACGACTCCTTCACTTACCATCTAGATGTTCTCGAAGATTTCCATTGCCAACATATTCAACCACAATGATCCGCTCATCTCCTTGCTCCACGTATCCATACAATCTTACCAAATTCAGATGTTCAATCTTGGACAGGGTAAGTGCTTCATTCTGGAACTCCAGTGACAAACGCTTGTCATATGTGTTCTGCCACACAGCTTCAATTAATTACCAATAATGATAGTAGATGGACCAGTTCTATGCTTCTTAAAAAAAGGAGTTCATTTTCTTCCCTATTTTGTTATATATTCGGATCCAACTAAACAGACACTGATTGAAGGGTTATCTGATGGTATGGGTCGTCATATTTGCATCACCATACAAATTATATCAAGCTCTTCAAGTCACATTTCTTGTTCTGTCATAATTATAATTGTGTACCTTTTTAGCACGCTTCACTGCAACAAGAGATCCATCCCGGAGCCTCCCCTTGTATACATTAGAAAAGCTACCGTCTCCAACCTTATTTGCAGGCGAGAAATTATCAGTCATCTTAAAAATCTCTTGAATGGAGACACTAGCTGCCCCTACCATTCCACTTGTGACACTGGAAGATCCATAGGAACTAGAGGACTTGAATTTTGACGAACTCTTGCTGTTACTTCCTGTTGAAAGATCAGTTGAAACTGCAGGTTGTAAGGATAATTAGTGTCTGATGCAATTAAATTGTTGAAAAACAATCAGTTAGTAAAGGTTGACTTTTCTCAACTTCCAACATTCCTGCCATGCCGTAATTTTATGAACAAACTATGAGTATTTTCATCACTCTCAATTGATTAAGCTGGGTATTTTGTATAATGGAGAGAGCTTCTCTCTCTTCAGAAAAAGGATGCTCATCATGACATGTGCTATGCCTCCAGATATATACTGAGAATGGAGATAGAGCAAAAACAAAGATGATAACTTACAGGAAATCCTTCCGATTTGATTGTTGCTTTTGGTTGTATCAGTTAAAGTGTCGGTGGCCTTGCTTTTCCTAAGAAACAAAATTGTAAAGACTCCAGCTACTTTATTTATTGCAGTTTTGACATAGCTCAAGACTGAACGATTTTTGTTAGGGCGCTTGGTTAATTCATGTTGGAAATTAGAAATCTGTTTTGTTGGGCTTGTGTACGGGATATGGGAAGGGGATGCTTTCTTCATTTTCACAGCTATGCCTCCCTTCTTGTAGAATTGGGTTGTGGCTTTCAGCTAGAAATTGGAACTTTGAAGCGGTTGCTGTTTTGTTCAAACCAAAAAAACGAAGGGATTTCGTGCTTTCATGTCCTCTAATTTATTCTTCCAGCGACCTATTCAAACAAAAATGTCATTTCGAACTCGTCTTAGACTTAAAAGCAATTGCCCACAGCCCCTATCATAATGTTTAATTGAATGGCCAAGTCAACAGACGACCGATTAATGATATATAAGATTACTGACCTGATCTGGAGCCCAGGAATTTTGCATTTGGCAAGTATTGCCCGCTGGTCTTCTCATCTTCTCTTAAGAGCATTACCCTCCTATTTTTTTAATCAAAATCATTAAATTCATATTGAATGATCATTTTATTAAATTCAGAAATAAAAATGACCTTTTTATTCATCTATTATACTTAGAATAATAATAAAAGTTAAAATTTTTTAATATCTAGTTTTTAAAATAAATAAAAAAATAATTTTTTTAACTATAATAATAGTGAAAATAATAGAAGTTATTGCAGTAATAGCAATAATAAAGAAAAAAAAAGGTGATGGTAGCAACTATAATAATAATATATTTTAAAAAATTGATATTATTGTGAAAACATAAAAAGTAATAATGAAAAAAAATTGATGATGGTGACGATATAATAAAAATGATAGTAGAAAATAATAATAATAATTTTTTTTTTCATTTGTGGCAGTAGTAGAAATAGTGATAATAGTAGAAATAACTGAGACATACTAAATAAAAATAATATATCATTATTTTAATGAAAAATATTTTTATTTTTGTTTTTATTCCCATTTTTCCTATAAAAATAAATAAAAATATTAACAACTTAAAATTATTTTATTTCTCTCACCTAATTTAAATAATTGAATTCAAAATTAATAATTAGGTTTACAACATTATTGTTCATATTTAAAAGGAAACATGAGAGGATCCACACACACAGGGATTAGTTGGACAAATTGTTAACATGCGAGAGTCTACCCTTACATAATGTTTAGAACAAATGAATTCCATAAAATTTTATGAAATTCATTTACAAATTAATGATATCTTGTTTGGAAGCTTCAATTTTAAAAATTACAAATGAATGAATTTCAAATCAATGAATTGATATATTTTTGTCCAATTCCTTATCCAAGAGAAGTTATTTGCAAATGAATTCCATGCTAATTAAGAAATATTTTTATTTGGATAAATATACCCTCTACTTTAGCCTTCTTTTCGTTCGTTTTTAATCTGAGCTATCTCTCTCGCACATATTTCTTCTCTCTGCTGTGCCTCCCTTGTTGCCGTCCGATTCCTCATCCTCCTCTAGACTCCTTTGCTCACTTGCTCTTCCAGGTTTGCTTATATTTTTGTTCACTTTTCTTCTTTTTTTTTCTCTTTATTTCATTTGGTGGTGCGAGCTTGTTTTTCTTTCTTTCATCTGGCATAAGATGTTTGCATGTCATTTCTTTTTGTTGATTACTACGAAAGTAATGTGTGAAGTTAGATATAATAATTTCATCTAGGAGGTAGTATCTCTAATTGCTTTGAATTAATTTTTCATCTAGGAGACGATATCTAAAAGTAGTAATTTTTTATCTAATTGCTTTGAATTAATGTGCTGCATTAACTGTATGTCTGATTATATCTATTTCGATCTATGCATTATATCATAATTACTTTTCAACCAACAAGAGAGTATTTAAGTAAAATACAAACCATAATTCTAATTCTACATGTATTCCAAACATAAAATGTATTTACAAATGAATAATTTGACTAATAATTTTTTTTTTTGTGTTCCAAACAAGGAAATTCATTTGCAAATACAAATTCTCATTCATTTCATTTATAAATGAAATGAATTCCGCACTTCATTTGTTCCAAACATTCCGTTAAGCCTTTTTACTGACTCTGACCAAATTATACAAGACCATTTGTAGCAGTTTCAGAGGGCCTGTTCTCCCAGCTTTTAGTTTCATCTTCAAGCTACACTCGGTTCTTCCACTTCCATGAAAGTTTGATACTGTCAGACGTGGGTATATTATTGAATTAGCTTCTTACTTTCTACGTTTATTAAGCCTGGACATTTACCAGCATTACAGCTTACAAGCATCTCATAACATTTCATTTCTTGAGCAATACCAGCAATCGAGATGGTTATTTTTCAGAGTTTTTAGGAAATCATTCTGTTGTTGTTAACCATGGAATCATGTTCTTGGCATTTCTTAGAGAACGAAAATTTTGGTTTCTTTCAGCAGTTCAAATTATTACACTGTCACCTTGCTTGACTATATGGTTGTTGCATTAATGAGTACATCAGAAATTGAAACAGTGAAGACAATGTAATAATATGGCACCAGAATGGAAAGGCTATCAGAGGAAAAGGGAAGAACATCATTCTTAGGAGAATAAGCAAACTGAGAGGGAAGAACTGTAATACAAATCCAGATGAAGGAACCTAGGAGCATACCGCAGAAGATCTTACATTTTGCAGGTTGAAAACCCATACCGCACCTGAGACAGAAACCCTGGATACTTGAGGCTGCGGGATTTACACAAATAGCCATGGTATTTTGATTTTATACCGGTAGGAAAAGAAAAGAAAGATCAGACTAACAGCCTCTCTCTTTAAAAGGGAGATGACAATTCCCACTGCACAACCTTCTCTAACATTCCTGAACATCTCTAGTTCCTCAGTTGCAACTGCTATCCTCTCACGATCCACCATAAACTAATAGTCAATGGAGAATGGTTTCAAACTCATTCAGGGACCTGGAGGGAAAAAAAAAAGGACCAATCATTGATTCACACGTTGTCATGTATGCATATGGAATGTAAATATTGCCCTTTTAGGAATGTTGTGAATGACTGTTGTCTTGTTGAACACGTTGTTCAAATACCAGTATGTTGTTACTGCAAACTGTGCTTCCAAGTGTTTACAAGACAGTACCAAAACACTCCAGTACAACAGTACAAAAGCAAGTATAAATAAAGACACAAGCTTAGAGGAAATCATGAGAGCAATAGATAAATCCAACTAAGAAGAAGAGAGAAAATGAATGATACTGACCAGTTTCATCAAAATTTACTCTCTCTCCAGTGGAGAAGATATTGTAGAAAAGAGCAGCAAGAAAATATAAGAGTGATGTGAGCAACAGAAATCCACGGAAAGAACCCACTAGTTCAACAAAGAAACCAGCTCCAACTGTTCCCACAATGGCTGCAAACGTACCGGCAGTATTTGATATTCCTATAAGCAAACGGAATGCAGTTGTTTACATACCACACTAAATGAATATTTTCAAGTTATCAAGTACTATCTTGAATGAATAAATCAGACCAGACTCAATATATATATATATATATATATATAACAGATCTAGCAGTACCATGCAAAACACCAGAATAATGTGGGGCGATCTCCTGGAAATAGAAAGAAAAAGTAAAAAATTAGAAAAAACAAAAGTGAATAACGACTAGCATTTTAACCATCCTTTGGTCCACCAACCTGGAGATTCACAAGAAAACCCGAATGACTGAAAGACTTTAGTCCAACAGCTAAAGTTAGCCAAGCAGATGCAAGAAGTGGACTTCTAGCGGTAGTCAAACCAATAAGAGCAATCCCAGGACCAAAAAAGCCAATTGACTGCAGGGAAGACAAATTTGACGATTACTTGAAAATTGTAGGACGAAAACCAAGATTACATGCATGCAAGCAGACAATCCAAACAAAATATAAGGCATCAAAAAGGAAAACAAAACACAGCCTCAGCTCTCAAGGACCTATCTTCCAAAATGCATTGTTCTAAAATTTATTTTCATATATTTTCACAAAATGTGTGGGAGAGAGGGGAGAGAGAAATGAGATGAAGTTGCAGTCATATGTAAAAGTACTTAAAATTAACATCAATTGTGATGCAGTTCAGTGACTTCAGTCATACTTCAACGAGATAATAGTATTTTCATGGTGCCTACAATTCAGTTTGAAGTAAAGCACCATCCTCCACAATCACTTTATGGCAGAGAGGTATTCAGATAACCTTTTTACGCCAGAATAATCTCCAGACGAACAGATTTGCTTTTACTGGAGCAACTCTGGAGGGGTCACAAGAAAGTACAGGGTGAAAAAATAAACACATGACAAAATCTTTATGAAAGAGGTCAACATTTTTTTCAATCCCTTTACATCCAAAGGAACATCATTTGGATGATACATCATGAAACTTCTGCAAGGTCATTAAAGTCACGGAGTGTATAAATAGAACATATAGTTATGCTTTTGATTGTATAAAAAAAAAAAGGGAGAGACCTGCATGATTTTTCGAGTCAAAGAGACACTTATACCACGGCGTATCAACATGTCTGACCACGTACCGCCAAAGTATCCCATAAATCCCATCACACTCCATGGAACGGCACTAAACCATGCTGCATGTTTGAGGTCAACATGATACATCTGTTCACATCATCCACTTTTAGCCATTTCCAAGAATATCTTTTCCAGTAAATATGAGCATGCAATTCAATAGAGAACCACAATTATAGCAATGAAGTTGGCCTTACTGTGTTAAAATAAATGGGCATCCAGGAGAGAATAACAAAAAATCCCTGCAGAAGTTTTTAAAACCATTTCAAAATATTAGTGCCAGAAGGTGATAGCGTTCATCCTTAGTAGAGTTGAATCTAGATATTCATCGCAAAGATTTCCACATAGTACAATCATTATAAGCAACATATTCAGCACAGGAGAAGAAAATTAATGACAGATTCTAGATTAAAGTATGATGCGTAAAGTACCCAGCTATGCATGGCATTGGCAACAATGAGGGACCAAGTCGGCATCTTAGAGAGCAAGCGCCTGAAAGGAGGGATCATTCTTTTTGTCTTAGGTTTATTCTCCACGGGAAAAGACTTCCGCCCCTTGTTTAATATGTACTCCAATTCATACTTCGATATCTGGGAACTGCAGTCAGGAGTACTTGATATTGCAGATAACCAAACCAAAACCCACAGGAATCCAGATAGTCCAAAAATCACAAACGGCCCAAATATACCGCCTTTTGACATGAGGATTGGAGATAGAGTGAGTCCTATTGCATTTCCAAGTTGAAATCCTGCCATTGCAATCCCAACAGCCCTGGCTCGTTCTGTCTGCGGGAACCATCTAAAAGAAAAAGTTCATACAGTTTCTTCAACATTTTAGCTTCACCACCTTTTTAACTACAAAATAGAATCATATAGTATATCATAAAATCATACTGACCACAATCAAACAAGAGAATTAGATGAGACCATTAATACCTTGCTATCATGTTGTTCATACAAGGAAGAGCCACACCTTCAGCAACGCCAAGCATTGCTCGCGTAGCAAGTAGAGCCCATACCGAAGTATCCGCAGCCCATGGAGTAAGAAATGTAGCTAATGACCACAAAGCAACACCCCATCCCATCACTATCTTACCACCATAATAATCCACGAGTGTCCCTCCCGCTATCGGCGAAATTAGGTATCCCCACAGGAAAGATGACTGCCACAAATAACATCCATTAACGAATCAGTAGTGCAAAAATACGCCTAAAAAAAGATTTTCAGCGATTTCTTTAGAAAATTGCTTGGATAGTTTGTGAAAATTAATCCAATTGGCATGGCCCTATAATTATTATATTTAAAAAAGAAGAACCTAGCATCTTGTATTTTGAATTAAAGAAAAATTTAATTACGCCTGCTTCACAGTTCTAAGTAACTAGAGTGTCAAATTCAAGTTCAAATAAATAAACACAAAAATAAAATAAATAAAAATCACCTGAACAATACCAGAGAAGGATCGGCTCCAACCATTAGCAAGGGACAAAGGTACAATCGCCACCGACATGACCACACGATCAGCATTACAAAGAGCCAGGGCCAAAGCAACCATCGACACCACTTTAATCCTCTCTGATGTAATAAACTCACTAAAACTCGGCGCCTTCGGCTCGCTATCTTCACTTAACGAACCGAACCGTGCGTCGTTCGATGAAACCCTAGCTCGAAAGGACGGAACTGTATGGAAGTCCAATGAGTCATCGATTCGTGGTTGAATAGGGAGCGAACTCGGGGAAAATGAAACGTTTCTATAGCAGTTCTGGCTTGAAGAGTTAACGAAAGGAGAGTGTCGGAGCTTGAAACGCGCGGATTTGTGATTTTGAAGTGGAATTGAACGGTGGATGCGAATTGGTTGATTGAGATTGAGTGAAGAGTTCATTCTCTTTTTCCTTTTTCCTGTGACTGACTGTGATGACAAATGCGAGACGAGCCGCCCAGAATGGCATATGTACCGTTGAGAGGTGTGAAATGACTTGTACTGCCCTCGTTTTGTCCTTCAAATCTCTTAGGTAGATTTGTTATTTTTTGGAGCTCGTGGGTTAAAGTGGGATTTCAGAAGGCCTTTGTTTGAAAAGGAAATTATCGCAAATTATCTTTGCTGCTTGAGATGGAGTTTCACCGGTATTATCACTAACAGGAGAGGGGAGCAAAGGAATATGTAAACGATGTCGTTTCATGGAAATCCAGGTGTCCATCAGACCGGCTTGAGGGAAATCAGTTATCTAAAGAATTCTATTTGTACCATGGTGTTATTAGATCGGGACCAGGCCCGGTTGAAATTTTGAAGAAGAGCCAGCTTTGGAGCCTTCTTAACATTTGGATTTCGGAATATCTAGTTATGGTGACCTTTCGGAATCTCCACATACGTTGTGTAACGAATGCAATATTTCATACAGGGCTTACCCACATTTTATTTCTATACTCTTTAATTTTTTTATATTATTATTCAGACTCTATATTATTTTTTTTATTGAAATTCTCTATTTTTGAGATTTACTAATTTAAAATCTTCATTATAACACCAATAATTATTTATCCGACGTTTCACTTAATGATAACTAATCACTAAACGACATATGATGAAAAAAGCTATCAAAATAAAGTATTTTTGTCTAAATTAAAAAAATAAAACTAATTTTAATAGTAAATTAATACAAAAAATATAAAAAACAAACGTGAAAATACAAAAACCTTCTTCATCATCAACAACAATAAACCCAAAAAATGATTTGGCTTCTCTTTTACTTGTTGATTTCAATCACGACAAAAGAAGAAGAAGAAGAAGAAGGTGGATACCAACTCGGAACACCCATGTAAGTCGTTCTCTAGTCATTAGATGGTCCAATTTGCTCTAGAATGAGCAATAGAGATGAGTCTTCGAAAATAGGTCAAAATCGATTTCTTATCCAATTTGATTGATTTCAACAAGCTTTTGTTGGGATTTAAGAGGAATTCGCTATTCAAAGGATGGGAAACATTTTCCAAGTGATTGCAAGCTGTCGTCGTGGTTGGAAATGGAAGATCCCTTTGGGCTTGTCTTCGAGTCGAGTTTTATGGACAAGTTTGATGATTTATGGTTGTTTTCTTCCACTATTCCAAACCAATGAGAGTTGCTAGGTTGATGGCGCTCCAATCTATGATTGTTTTGGGGTTAGTTGTTGGCCAGAATGTGGTGTTTTTTGGGTTTGTTGCTATTGATGATGATGGCGATGGAGAGTTTTAGTCCTTTTACGTTTGTTTTTTTTCTATTAATTTATTATTAAAATTAATTTTTAATTTTTTTAATTCATATGGAAATACTATATTTGGGATCCATTTCGTCACATGCCGCTCATATATATTATTACGAATTCTTTTTGAAATACAACCAAAAAAAAATGTAGTTTTAAATTTAATATCCAAAATATGTTTTTTTTTTTTTTGCCGTATGATATTTAATTATTCATGTCATATTTTTTCACATTTACTAATAAACATCAACAAATTTAAAAAAAAATTAAAAAATTGAAGACTACTAACAAAGATAAATGTAAATATTACGGATTTCTCGATAAATAAAAGTGGGATCTTTTTCAAGAGGAATGATATCTATTGTTTGTTTCCGAAAAAAACACTATACTTCAAGTTTGTCATAGAGATGAAACTAGTTGGATACTCGTGCTACGTCTGCAGGCGACTAACCATTACATACATAGGGTTAACGATTCATATGGTGTAATGCGAGTAAAAAGTTTTATTTTTTATAATTAATATAAATCAAATCTATATATCGTTAATTTCTAACAAAACTAATATATATATATATATATATATATAAGCAAATAAAACTTATGAATTTTTTTAACTCATTATTATTAAAAAAAAATTTTGAGTCAAACTATTAAAAATATACTTTTAACTCTCTCTCTCTCTCTCTCTCTCTCTCGTGTATATATATATATATACTCTCTCTCTCTCTCTCTCTCTCTCTATATATATATATATATATATATATATATTAAAAGTAAACACTTATTTAAAAATATAAAATAATTTATTGTATAAATTTTAATAATATATTTTTTAAAAATAAAACATTGACGTTCTAAAATTTTATTCCAAAATTCATATATTAAAAAACTAAATTTATATCAAAAAAATTAATTGAATGAGAATTTTAACAAGAAACAAATAATTGAAGAAATAAATTTTAAACAATAAGAATAAAATAATCGAGATATCTATGTTAATATCAATGTCAAATATATAATTAATATTGGTTTATGGACATTAAAGGGACCAATAATATATATGTTTTTTTTTTCGATGAATGGACCAATTATATATGATCACTTAACTCGTACGAGCACTTGCTAGAGATCCGATTATGCTACGACAATATGCATATTCTTTTAATGGTTTCCTTTGACCTCCCGGCTATCCAATCCTAAAACACATCAAAATTTAAAATAATTAGTCAATTTTTTTTTTGTTCTATCATGAAACTGGTAGCCGGACTTTTAAAAATATAAAATAAATTCTAGGAAAAACAATAGAGCATGGTCGCGCACTGGTTGGTATGTATATATATATCATACTTAACGAACTCATAATATATAAACTAAATAAAAAAAATAAAAAAAACCCACTTAAATTATATGAAATACATCGAAATGAATAGATTTAAATAAAAACTAATATAAAATTGGTTTTGCTAAATTCGATAATATATGTATATATATAACCAAATAAAGCTGTGAATTTTTTTAACTAATTATTAATTTTTTGGAAAAAAAATCAAGTCAAATTATTTTTTTAATCGATTCTTATTTTTTAAAAAATGAAGTCAAATTATTTTAAAACACGTTTAGCTCTTTCTCTCTCATTATAATTTATATAAGCAACAACACTATTTTCATATAAAAATCATAAAAATAATCAATCGTATAAATTATATTAATATATCTTAAAAAATAAAATAATCATGTTCTAAAATTTTATTTCAAAAGTCATATATATAAAAAATAAATTTATTGACTAATTAAAAAAGAAAAAGACAAACTAAATCTCAATAGCCCAACCCGTTAAAAAGAAGGAAAAAAAAAAAAGCTACGGTAATGGGATTGTGAAGGATGCTATAGCAATAGGACTTTGAATGACCAATTCAGCAACCTAGGCCTTTAAGAAAAAGGAAAAAAAAAAAAAAGCAAGGCAGGAAAGGAAAAAAAAAGTGGGGGAGGGGGGCCTTAGCATGAACAATCTTACCCCTAGTTCTTTTATTTTATTGTTTATAATTCCCGCGCTACGTTGCGGTTAGACAATTATTATATATACGGGGTTAACAATTTGTATGGTATCATACGAGTATGTTTTGTTTCGAATATTAATGTAAATTGAATCTATATATTAAGCAAACTTATTTTATTTATATATATTCATTATAAATATTTATAATAATAGCATATAAAATTTATATTTGAATAATTAAGAAGTCATTTTAAAACATTAATTAAACTATCTTATTTAAAAATATAGATTTTATAATATGAAAAAAATAAAAAAATAAAAAATTGATGTTATGTGTGCAAATATAATTAATTTATAACAAAACTATTTTGTATCGTACTTGATAGATTTAGAGTATATAAAATAAATAAATAAATATAAAAAAACTCACTTAAATCGCATGTAATATATTGAAGTAAATAGATTTAAATAAAAACTATTATAAAATTGGTTTCGATAAATTCGATTATGTATATATATATATATATATATAAACAAATAAAACTTGTGAATTTATTAACTAATTATTAATTTTCTTAAAAAAAATAGAGTAGAATTATTTTTTAACCGATTATCATTTTTTTAAAAAAATTAAGTCAAATTATCTAAAATACACTTTTAGCTCTTTCTCTCACTCATCGAATTTATATATGTCATAACTATATATATATATATATATATATAATTCGAATTTATCGAAACTAATTTTATATTATATTTTATTTAAATATATTCACTCCAATATATTCCATGCAATTTAAGTGGGCTTTTAATATATATATTTTTTATTTATTTTATATACTACGAGTACGCTAAGTGATATATATATATATATATATATACACACATAATTTATTGAAACCAATTTTATATTTTATTTTATTTAAATTTATTCACTTCGATATATTTCATGCAATTTAAGTGGATCTTTTTATATTTTATTTATTTATTTTATATACTCGAGTCCGCTAAGTGAAATATATCGAAGTGAATAAATTTAAATAAAAACTATTATAAAATTAATTTAGATAAATTTTTATTATATATATAATCAAATAAAACCTATAAATTTTTTAACTGATTATTAAATTTTTTATTAAAAAAAGGGAAAAAAAAGAGGCGAGCCGTTAATATATCACTTAACGGACTCGAGTATATAAAATAAAAAAAATAAAAAAACCCACTTAAATTGCATGGAATATATTGGAGTGAATAGATTTAAATAAAAAACATTAGAAAATTAATTTAGATAAATTTTTATTATATATGTAATCAAATAAAACCTATAAATTTTTTAACCGATTATTAATTCTTTTATTAAAAAAAGAAAAAAAAAGAGGCGAGCCGTTAATATATCACTTAGCGAGACTCAGAATATATAAAATAAATAAAAAATATAAAAAACCCACTTAAATTGCATGGAATATATCGGAGTGAATAGATTTAAATAAAAAACATTAGAAAATCAATTTAGATAAATTTTTATTATATATGTAATCAAATAAAACCTATAAATTTTTTAAGCGATTATTAATTTTTTTATTAAAAAAAGGAAAAAAAAAAGAGGCGAGCCGTTAATATATCACTTAGCGGACTCGGAATATATAAAATAAA